TAGTAGATAGAACATATTAAGTATTAGATTCAGGTTCTTTAGGATAGGACACCTTTTGGAATGATCTTTGTAACATACCATTTACCTATGCTCTAGACTTCTCTGGATTTTAGTATGTGTTTCTTGCTTAATAGTGTTCACATTGGTTGTAGTTCCATCTTATCTAGGTCATTAACCCTCTTTACCCCTGGACAATATTTGATAACCTTTCCTTGTATATAGTCTTGTATTAGGTTAGAACTTTCTTATTTAGACAAAAAGGGGGAGATGTAGTGGGTAGCCATTCCAACCTTCATCTGGAAGTTCCAACCCCCGTTAAGGCTTCGGTAACTGTCACGCCATCAAGGCAGGGCCAAGAGAGAACCCTGAAGACCCGAGATCCAGATGTGTCGTCTCTCTTAGTTCCTGGACCTTGGATGCTGGAGGTAGACGGAGCAGAGTTCTCCAGAGAACACTGCTGGACTGCGCTACGTTTTTCCCAGACCCTGGGACTTACCTATCCCTTCACTTGTAAGTTACACCACTAAATAAACCTCCCTTTTAACTATGTGGAGTGGCCTTAATAATTTCGCCAATACTCTCTCTCTCTCTCTCTCTCTGTGTGTGTGTGTGTGTGTGTGTGTGTGTGTGTGTGTGTGTGTGTGTGTGTTGTGTTTGAGACAGGGTTCCTCTGTGTAGCCTTGGTTGTCTTGGAACTCACTCTGTAGACCAGGCTGGCCTCAAACTGACAGACCCACCTGCTTCTGCCTCTCCAGTGCTGGGATTAAAAGCATGTGCCACCACCATCTAGCATTTTTCCAAAAGCTAACATGGTTAGCTTCTTTACAGCAATGCCCACGCCTGTTCTCTACAGCAACACTGGAGTTTGCCAGGTGGTAATGGTGCACACCTTTGATCCCAGCTGAGAGGCAGAGGGAGGTGGATCTATGTGGATCTCAGCATGTTGAAGGCCAGCCTTGTCTACAAGGTGAGTTCTAGGACAGCCAGAGATATTACTCAGAGAAACTCTATCTCAAAACACAAAACAAAAAGACAAACAATCAAAAAAAATAGAGGAGGGAGTTTATTTTGGCTTACAGTTCTAGAGGTTCAAGTCCATGATGGAGACATGATGACAAGCCCTAGGCATGATGAAGGAACAAGAAGCTGAGAGCTTCTGTCTTGGACCACAAGCACTACACAGAGAGAATGGGCTGGAAGGGCACAGAGTCTTTAGATTTTCAAAGCCCACCTCCAATGACACACCTCCTCCAACAAATCTTCACTGTTAAAATCTCCCCAAATAGTTCCACCAACTGGGGACCAAGTATTCAAACATCTGAGCCTATGGGGGACATTCTCATTCAAACCACTAACTACATTAGTCCAGGCTGGCCTCAGACTCACTAAGTAGCTGTGGCTGGCCTTGAATTCCTGATCCACTTACTGGGCTTTCTGAGTGTTGTGATTACGGGTGTTTGCCACTACTGGGTACGAGTGTGCTCTTTAAGACACATCTTCATGGCAATGCTCTATCCTCTACATGTGATTGCTATCCCTGGATTGTGGAGATGGTTCAATCACCAAAGTGCCTGCTAGGCAAGCACAAGGACCTGAGTTCAAATCCCCAGAACTCACATTGAAAAACTGAATTTGGCAGTGCATATCTGTAATCTCATTGCTTCAAGGAGGAAACAGGAAATGTGCCGGCCACCAGGGCTGGGAGAATCAAGGAGCTTATGGTTCAGTGACAGATTTTGTCTCGAACAGTAAAGATGGTGATTGATAAGGACACTCAAGGTCAACTCAGACCTCTACCTCCACCCACATGCTCATGTGCACACACAGATGTAAGCAAGCACACCCCACCCTCACACTAACTTTTTTGTATTTTTGGTTTTTCGGGACAGGGTTTCTCTGTGTAGTCCTGGCTGTCCTGGAACTCACTCTCTAGACCAGGCTGGCCTCGAACTCACAGAGATCCACCTGGCTCTGCCTCCCGAGTGCTGGGATTAAAGGTGTGCGCCACCACCACCCGGCTAGGCTCAACTCTTAATGGCCACACCCCAGTGGCAACACAAGCTGGTGACTGCTCCTTCACCATTGCCTTTAGGGTCCAAACCCTAACATTTAGGCAGGACTACCTTCTGTCACTTAAAATGACAGGTCACGGGCTGGGGAGAGGGCTCAGTCAATGTAGTGCTTGCTTTGTAAGCATAAGGACCTGATTTTGTCCCCAGATCCTAGATCCAAAAGCTGGGAGTGTTGCCATGCCCCTGTGACTCCAGTGTTGGGGAAGCAATGACAGTTGGATTCCTGGGGCTCACTGGATTCCTGGGGCTCACTGGCTAGCTAGCCTAGCTGAACTGGTGAGTTCCAGGCCAGAGATCCTGTCTCAAAAGAAAGGGCTAGATGGCTCCCAAGGGATGAGACCTGAGGTTGTCCTCTGGCCTCCACACACACGCACGCGCACACACACACACACACACACACACACACACACACACACACACACACGTGCTCCTGGACACATGAGTGTGTGCAAGCATGTGCACACACACACAGAGACAGATTCACACATAGAGAGAAACCCACATGTGGCAGACTGTGTTTTCCGAAGATAGTCACATCAATGACACCTGCCCTGGATGCTCTCTGAGGAAGAGGTTTGTCACTATATCAAGGGAACGATGTGATGTCCCACCTGTCCTTACAACTCCAGCTTCAGCCAATGTGGAGGACATTTTGTTTGTTTGCTTGTGTTTTGTTTGCTTTGAGACAGGGTTTCTCTGTGTAGCCCTGGCTGTCTTGGAATTCGCTCCATAGACCCAGCTGGCCTCAAACTCAGAGGTCCTCCAGGCTCTGCCTCCCTAGTGCTGGGTTTAAAGGTGTGCTGCTGTGGGATGGTCTGTATGGCAAATGTGTTGCTGATTAGTAAATAAATAAAACACTGATTGGCCATTGGCTAGGCAGGAAGTGTAGGCGGGACAAGGAGGAGAATAAAGCTGGGAAGTGGAAGGCTGAGTCAGAGAGACACTGCCAGCTGCCATGATGAGAAACAGCATGTGAAGATGCTGGTAAGCCACGAGCCATGTGGCAAGGTATAGATTAATGGAAATGGATTAATTTAAGCTGTAAGAAGAGTTAGCAAGAAGCCTGCCACGGCCATACAGTTTGTAACCAATATAAGTCTCTGTGTTTACTTGGTCGGGTCTGAGCGGCTGTGGGACTGGCAGGTGTCAGAGATTTGTCCTGACTGTGGGCAAGGCAGGAAAACTCCAGCTACAATGTGCACTACCACACCCGGCTTGTGGAGAACATTTTTTACCTCTTCCATCAACAGAGAAAATTAGAACGAGCAAGTTATGATTCCAAGGTGATGTTATAAATGTACCATGGGCCTCTGCCGTCTTCTCTGTGGGGTCTTATTCTTAGGACCTGGGTCATGCTGTGAGGGAGTCAAATGGTCTGTGCAGAGGCAATTGCTCTTTCTGTTTTAACTCAGAGGAGGTGGTACAGCCCCTGTTCTGTCCTCTGTTCTGTCCCATAGGTATACAAGCCTTTGTGGTATTCATATTCTTTATACAGAGTGCCCAGGGCAGCTAGGAGGCTGGCTCAGGAACCTGGGCGTAACTCACTCACTCCGGGCTGGTCAGGTATGTCACTCAGCCACCCCCCGCCCCCACCTTTCTCTGATCTTTGGAACATCAGTAGTCACCATGTTCTCACATGCCTGTGAGTTTGTCTCTTGGGAAGCTCTGAGCATGATCTGTGTTTAGTCACGCTTGTGTGAATTCACATACGTTTCTATGTTGTAGGTCACTCCTGCATGTGGGACAGAAATCAAGCAACCACCACAGAGTCTATCAGGAGGTTCTCCTGACTCCCGGTCCTCCTGCCTCCCAAACTGAGGAGGTTACCTCATCCTTTAGTGTAGTGATTTTTGGAAACAGTTTCCCCCATTCCAGAACATACTCCTAAATGCTAGGGACACATCTGGATGTTGAGCCATGGGAGGATGATGCTAGCTGGTGAGTACCAGTCAGGGATCACACTAAAAAGCTCCTAATGCGCAGGATGCTGTCTGCCGACAGGTAGGTCATCTATTGCCTGGTTCCAGGTGTTTATGGTGCTGAGCTGGAGCAACTTTATTCTAAAGGGAAGTTACACACGTGAAAACATGTGAGTACCTTCATTCATTATTTATTTTTGTCTTGCTAAGCATCAAGCACACAAGCTTGTGCCTACTGGCAAGTACTCTACCACTGAACCATAGCCACTCCTGCGGCCTTCAGAGGCAGGGCCTCACTGTGTAGCCCAGGCTGGCCTTGCTATCCTCCTGCTTCAGCCCAGAGTCCTGGCATTAGGGGTATGCCTAGTCTGGGAGGACTGTGAGGTTTTGGTTTGGAACTCCTTTTCTCCATCTTCCCCTCCTCCTTTGGATGCCAGGGAGGGAACCCAAGGCTCTGTGCCAACTAGGCTGGAAGTGGCAAGAGACTCCCTGCCACTGAGCAATCCTCTAGCCAAACTTTGCTCTTGAAACACAGATGCCGGGGACTGGAGAGACGACTCATCGGTTAAGAGCACTGACTGCTCTTCCAGAAAACTCAGGTTCGAATCCCAGCATCCATTTGACAGCTACAATGGTCTTCACTCTAGTTCCAGGGGATCTGGCACTCTTTTCTGGTCTCCTCAGGCACTGCATACATATGGTGCATGGTCACGTATATGCAGGCAAAGCATGTGCATAAAATAAAAATAAAATACAGATGTTAAATCAAGTATGGTGCTACACACCTGTGCTTCTAGAACTCAGGAGATGGAGGCAGAAAGACCAGAAGTCCAAGGCCATCCTCATGGATGTATTGAGGCCAGTCTGAGCTACAGGAAACCGTGTCTCTAGGCAGATGAGATACAATAGAAGAACATAAAATAGGATGGAATACAGATAAATATGAATTTTTTTATTTTCCTGTTGATACTGCCCTGGGGTCTCACTGCACAGTACTCAAGAAGGGGAGTCAGAGAAATTTGGTTTTTCACTTTAGGATGGTCCTGTGGGCTGGGGGTAGGGGACACAGGACTTACCTGATCAAGTAGGATCAAGGTGTAGGCACAGGGAAAGACATGGGTATAGACACACACTCACCTTCACACTACACACACACACACACACACACACACGTTCACTGGTCTATCCAGCCCACACTCCTTTCATGCTGTATTGCAGCTGTCCACGCCATCTATCACTCCAGCCGAGCTTCCTCCCACTAAACAGAAGATATTCTCTGACTTCAGAGGGTGCGGCTTGACCTTCTCACTCTACAAGCCGTGTGAAAGTGTCCACACAGTCACAGTTTTGCACTTTGAGGAAATTCAATGAACAACAGGAGTATCAACCACTCTACTCTGAAACAGCTGCAGTTCGACGGCCTGGCCCCTCCGTGGCTGGCTAAGACGAGATGCTCCATGGCTTTGCTGTGTCCAGGGCATTCCAGGAGGGACTCTGTCTGACGTGGAGTTGTCCCAGGAAGAGTGAGCTAGAAGTCCCACAGATCAGAAAACTCGGTGTGCACTGTGAGAAGGAAAGCAGGCAGAACTGAGACATGCTCAGAGAGGCCTGAGGGGAGGTGACAGGGACAAGAGATAGCAGGCCTGACTCTGGCAGGGAAGAGGAAGTGAGGTGAAGGGACCATCGGGTCCACGCTGGTGACGAGGCGGAGCAGGTGAAGGGCTCTGCAGTGCTTGGTGTGCAGAGTTAAGGACAGGGAACATCAGCTGGAGCTTCTCTGCAGAGTCGACAGACTTTCCTGAAATCTAATTCAAAGAGTAAGCTGCCAGCACTCCGGAGGCAGAGGCAAGTGGGTCTCTCTGAGTTCGGGGCCAGCCTAGTCTACATAGTGGGTTTTAGGCCAGCCATGACTGCACAGTAAGACCCTGGGTCAAAATAAAAAATGAAAGAACAAATGCCCCCCTCTCTGCCCCATTTCTATCTACTCTTTGGAGCCCATCCAAAGCCCTGAGTATATTTGTCCTGACTTTCCACAGAGGAGGCAAAACGGTGTTTTGATTTCTTTTAATTACCTTCTGGAGAAGATGCATCTCTGTCCTATTACATACAGAACAGATGGACCAAAACCCATTTATTTATTTGTTTGCTTGCTTGTTTATCAAGATAGGGTCTCACATAGCCTCAAGCTGTTCCAGACCTCGAACTCCTGATCCTTCTGCCTCTACTTCCCCCGTACTAGCATTACACCTGGTTTGTGCAGTGTGGGGATCGAACCTAGGGTCTTCTGCACACAAGGTAGGCTTTCGACCGATGGAGTTACACCCCAGCCCAGGCCACTCTGGTCTGTTCTGGTTACCACGCATGTAGTGAGTGTAAAAACCCGCCTTGCTCACAGCCAGAAGAGGCGAAGGGTCTTGCTGACTCCGCTAGATGGCTTTCCTAGCCGACATTATGCTCTGAGAAGTTTACAGCTGACCAGGAGCATGGGTAAGCACCCCTGCCTCAGCTACACCCCCAGCTTGGTTTTGTTTTTAGACAGGATCTCTACATAGCCCAGGCTGGCTTGGAACTTGCACCAACCCTCCTGTCTCAGCCTCCCAGATACTGGAATTAGAAACGTGTGACACCAGGCTTGGCCGAGGCAGGGACTAGTTCCGGGCTTCCATGACCCTCTTGTTTCAGTTCCCTGGGTAGTGGGGACTCCAGACGGCTTGTGTCCCCATACCTGGCTTGTCCAACTTCTTTCCCATGTTCATTAACTACTGGTTCCTGCTTCCTTCGCCCTGACACACAAAGTCCATTGCCTGCTGTCCCAGCTAAGCGGCTCTCGGGGCTTCTATCTGAGGACAGCTATAGAACCTGCCCCGGACAGTTCTGCCTGTGTTCCCCCGTAGGAGCACCCCCAGCAGGCTTGGTTGGTGGGCCCCGACAATATCACACACCAGCACCTTTTCAAATTCGGAGAACTTAGAAATAACAATTGTAGCTTTATTCTCCAGTCCCCACCAATGCATCTGAAAGTGAGTGGGGAGGTGGTGTTTGCATTTGGGGTGTCTCAAGAAAAATGAAGACTAGAACCACGCTGGAAACTCCCATTGTTGGTATGAGAGGCCCCTCGGGGTCAGGGGAAAGCGCTGGTGACAGTAGCATTAAGACAACTTGGCAGAAGTCCAAGATGACGGGTGCAAAGCGTCTAACTCCTCTCTAGTAAAGAAAGAGAGGAAGGCCGCCGAAGAGGCCAATACTTTCCAAAGACCGGCTTCTCCACGGGCCCCAGGGGAGCCGGTGCCACCTGCAAATTCCTGTGGGGCTGCTACCTAAGAAAGGCAAACTGAGGGAAATCGGCTGATAGAGCCCAGGAACCAGAAAAACTGGCCCCAGCTCGGGGTTGGAACTGTTTCCTGGATTCTGCCACCTGCCCCCTCCCCACCTCCCCCAGCCCAGCTGGATCTATAATGGCCTCCGGCAAGACAGAAATTCTTTACCGCCAGTAAACCACTGCAAACTGTAATTACGGGGGAGGGATGATCTCAGGGAGTTCTTGGTGCACAGCTGCTTAGAGCTACAGCCTCATAAGCAGGGGACTCAGTCACAGGGAACGGGAGACCACCCTGCACGCCAGTGTGGGGGCCAACGGGGCTCACTCCATGGAAGAACTGATGTACAACTTGCAATTCCTGTTTCCTTGCCTGCCAGAGCGCAGACATCAAGGGCTTGGTGGCAGGTCACACAGGGCTTGGAGATACTGGGGGAGCTGCCATGAAGGGAAGCAGCATGCAGCCCTTAAAAGTGGGGGTGGGGGTGGGTTATTTACAGATTTGGAAGATGTTCTCCAGCTGTGTCTGAGGCTCAGTGGTAGGGCACTTGCCTGGCATGCTCAAGGCCCTGGGTTCGATTCTCAGTACTGGGAAGAGCATATGTGCTCAGTGGATGGGAGTGTTGGCGGACCGCCGCTGTGAAGAACCAGACAGAAAACTTGGGTTTCGCAGCCCAGATGGTCCCAAGAACAGTGACAAACAGTATGTAAACAGTACAGCGGAGTGATAGTGACAGACACAGATGGTCGGCAGAGCCTAAAATATTTACTGTTTCTGGCAGATCGGAGACCAAGTGTGAGGAACTCTCAGTGGTTCTGGGTGGATGGCAAGCCACAGGAGCGCTAGGTTCTGCCGGTGCCACCAGGATGAAGGAACTGACTGTCCCTGAAGATGGCCCACAGGGCTGAGCCTCTCATGTTCTCCCGTGAAAACCGGCCTGCACTAGGGAGTCCTGACAAGGGGCCTGTTGCGAGAGGCGCTAGATTTGGGCCCGTGTGACACCCTGGATCTTGAGCCTGTGACACCCTGGATCTTGAGCCTGTGGCTTGCTCTGTCTGGGGCTTTGGCTAGGTATTCGATCAGATTGTGGTCCCCACCTGCACTCACCTGTGAGCGTGTGTCCCCTGAGGACCTGGGGAGGTTGGCCAGAGTGGACCAGCCCCACTGCACTCCCAGGCTTCTGCTTGTTCCCTTAAGACAGTGCCTGGTGTTAGCCTCACTCTCCGAACTGGGGTTCCAGATGCCTGTGAGCCCCCACGTGGGTGCTGGGAATTCCTCTGCAAGGTCAGCCAGTGTTCTTAACTGCTGAGCCATCTCTCTTGCCCCTTTGTGCCCCGCTCGCCCCAATATTAACCTTTCATGACACTGAAAAACTATATGACAGGAACATCTTAGGAGGAAAAGGTGCATTTTGGCTCCACGTTTCAGAAAGACAGAGTGAGTGGTGAAGGTTCCTCATGAGCCAGGAAGCAGAAAGGGCCATGGAAACCGGAGTGGGAATAACCTTCAAAGGCTTACCCTAGAACCTGCTTCCATCAGTCAGACCCCACCTCCTATAAGCCTCACATCCTTCAAAATATCTGGAGATGGAGCATTCAAAACTCAAAATGTGAGCCTATGAGGGTCATTCTAGACTGAAACCATAGGCTGGGGTTATAGTTCTGTGGTAGAGGACATTCCTGCCATGCACAGGACTCCAAGATCAACTCCCCTGTGCCACCCTGAGGGTGGGCAGACTCACAATCCAACATGAATGACATTCTTAGAGGGAGAGACACGGACAGACCAACACCATGAAGAGAGTGCTTGTTGAGGGGAAGCCCACGTGGCCATCAAAGCAGAGGTGGTTGGTGGCCATCTTCCAACGGACACCAAGCGTTGCCAGACACTAGGAGAAAAAGGCAGAGAACATCCTAGAACCTTCAGGGGCTGGGACTGTGGCTCAGTTGGTAGAGGGCTCATCTAGCATGCGTTTAGTTAGCTCTGAGTTCCATCCTCAGCACCCCATAAACCAGATGTGGTGGCACAATCCTCTAATCCCAGCGCTCGAGAGGTGGAGGCAGGAGGATCAGAAATTCAAGATCAGCCTCAGCTACAAAGTGAGCTCAAGGTTAGCCTGGGTTAAATGAGACCCTGTTTCCCAAAAAAGTGTATGGAGACCATACACGGACTCTATGTAAAACAGTGGATCATTTTATATAAAAGACTTAAGTATTAGAAATGCTACCTTCCTGGGTTTGAGGTGTGTGTGTGTGTGTGTGTGTGTGTGTGTGTGTGTGTGTGTGTGTACCATTCTCTCCAAAAATGGGGGAGGACTCTACTTGGCAAATGCTTTCCAAGAAGTAACAACACAGTAGAAAGAAAAGAAAGGAGTTGAGCATCTGGGTTCAACTTGCTCACATAAAAGCTTTGCACTGCTGCACACTGGGGCCCAGTGGATGGAGCAGGACTTCTGTTCCAGAGGGACGACAGCTTCTTCCTTAGCCACCCTCCCAAGCACCGCTGTCACCCAATGTAGCCATTGCCGGTCCAGGTGCCTCACTCCCCCTTGCAGACTCAGAGGACAACTGAGCTGTGGGTCTGCCTTTCTGACCTGGTCACCCCAGAGGATTCTCAGAGGCCTGAGTTAGGGGACTGGGGGCTCCCGGCATTCTACACTGGAATACGGCCGGGAGAATCAGGCAGGGCTTTTGGTGCCTGTGTGGAACCTACTGCACAGAGAGGAGGGGAGTGAGGCTTTGACACAAGAAGAAGATCCGTGTCATCATGTGACATCATCATATGACCCCTGTGGAGGAAGCAGGGTGATTCACTCAAGAATGAGTTCAGCAGCTGGGCAGGAGAAGATGCCTGTAATTCTGGAGTCCAGGAGGCTAGGATTACATGGTCATGATTTGGAAGCTAGCCTGGGCTACATAGGGTGCTTGCCAAAAGACCATCAGTGAA